AATCGTAAAAGTTTGTTAACAGCGCGGATTGTTGATTGTTCGTAAAAATTAATTGCGTTTCGATGGACGGCGTACAATGGACGGAGCGATTTGCTCCGGTATTTGCCGTCTCGAGTCTCGTCGTGCGAATGGCATGGCAATGATAATTAATAGCGCGCAATGACTTTACGTGCGCCGTAGTAAAATGTATATGTACACAAGACAAAAATGTATGTGTATATAATATATAGCCAAGGCCATGCGTACTAGATAACCCTCTTCCTTGAAATATTTAATATATTAGAAAATAAACTTTAAGTATTCTGTTTCTTTCATCTTTGGTCAAATATCATAACAATAATATGGCTTCTTGTTACATAAATAACTCGATTCAGTGAATGATTTTCTAGACAAATTATTTAAATCAAAACTCCAAAGCGTGATACAGTATATACTCGAATCCAAGCATCACCTAGGAAATAATTATCATCTGTACATCGCAAAATAATAATTTATAATCCTCATTTTCTATCATTTCGAGTCTTAATGGACTTTAATGGACTTATTAATTAATAAATGCAGTCGTAAAGCTTGTATTTCAGTACTGTTTCTTACGTAATATAAATTTTAAGGTTTGTATATATTAATATATAAAAACCTTCTACGCGCGCCGTGTTTGAGAAGTCGTCTTGCTTATTTGCGAGATTCGCGGCTTTAAATTAATAAATCGCGCGAAATGTCAGTTTCTGAGCTAATATAATTGTTTACTGTAATAACTATGATTGTACAATATCGTTTAATATTTTCTAGTACGTGCCGCGATCGTGCGTTTCATTAATTAATACGACGACACACGAAATAATTCGCGCCGTTATCTGCTCGCTCGAGTTACGCCGCGGAAATGATAACACGGCGCGCGGTGGCCTTGGATACGCAATGGTGTATACCATCAAAACAAACACTGAGGCCATACACAGCCATTTTCGTCGTTATGAAATATTTAACGTGTTATAAATCTACAAGGTGTCCAACTTTGTCAAGTATCTCCGTTATTTCAAGTAATAAGAGAAAATTGTATCTATGTACAAAAGTTTGAAGAGAGAGATGTAATATGATGGCAATGAGTTTTTTTACAAGCGTAGGATAGATCTGAAGATCAGATTATATTATGTTAAACAAAACATTCAGTTTTTTATGATCAATTTTGATAAAGCGAGATTTATTAAATTGTCTCGAGATCGGTTTCAGATAAATTTTTTACTAGAGAAACGCGACACTATAAATATGGATCTATATTTTATAATTTTACACAAACCGTAGCTATTTCTATTTTATCTATATTAGTATAAATTCTTATCACAATAAAAACACATATTCATATTTTACATACTCGTGTTGTATGTTACTTTATTTATATTGTATAAAATGCATTTTTCTATGGACTTTTATTTATATGGCAAAATATGCTGGAAATGCAAAATTTTCACATAAAAGACTGGTCCAGTTATAAACGTAAAATGCTGAGATTTTATATTTTTTTAATGTAAATTATTCCTCGGTTATGTTATGCTTTGACGAGTGGTCAGACGATGAGATTCCGCTTTATTAGCAACGAGGGTGGTGGCATGCCGTTCCGTTCCGCCGGTCACCAACGCGATGCGCCCTGCGACTTCTTACACGCGCCTGACTTTCTAAGCGGTGTGGTAACCTAATTGTAACCTTCGTTTTCTATTATGCCTTTTATGCTACTCTTTCCTCTCTTTCTCTAATAAAGATTTTAATGCTAAATTTTTATAAAATATTTTTACACAATTTGAATGAGAATCGTAATATCAAGGTGTAATACTTAACAATGACACTTGCTAATTGGCCGTATGAGTTTTTAACGGCGAATGATCATTAACATTCGCGTTGTGTAAGACAGCGCGTCACCGACGCTAGTTAATGTCCAGCTTGCAAAGCTCGGGTGGAAACTGCGGGAGTCTTTTGATCCGCTTAATTTGCATAAAGGCACGCCTCGAATGACGAAACGATCAATCAAGTCGCTGCGGGAAACGAGTTACTATCGCCGTTCTTTTCGACCGGCCGCCGCTTCGATTGTTCCGATAGTTTACACGCATCACCACCGGTTTCACTAGACCGCGACCGGCGGAAACGTTGTTTCTCTCGTTCCGAAAGTTCGTTTCTCGCCGTTAAGTCAAGCGCAATGCGAACATCAGACGATAACTTTGAAATGTACGATCTTAATCAATGAGCGCTTCTCTTTTGCACTTTGCATTTTCCGGCAATGAAGAAACTTATTTATTTGTTGTGCACTCTAAACGCTTTTTTGCAACGCAAAAAAAAAATATTATAAAAGACGAGATAATATTGGTGATGTGAGATCAATGTATTTCTTTTACTGTACTTGTGCTGTAGTTTTTTAAACATGTTATTTAATTCATTTGATATTGATCGTGTTACTGAAGATCGTTTGTTTTTTATTAAACTGACTTTATAGACGCTTTGTGATTTATGTCAGAATTCAGGATAAAATAAAATTTTAAATTTTATTGTTAGGATATAAAATAAAATTTTATCCTAACACAACTTTATAATTTTATGTGTAATATCATGTAAATCATGTCATAGAGAAATTTAAAGAATTTAGAATATATATGTGCATAAAGTATGTATTGAAACATATACATATATAAACATATGTAGCATATAAAATTATAATTAAACTTTAATCTTGAAATCTCTAATATAAATTGTATCGTCTTTTTAAACTAAGTTTCAGAAAAGTATTACATTTTTTTATTCTATGTGATTGTGAATTTATACAGCAACTAACGTAACAGTATCGGTTCTTTCTTTTTCTGTACTGATTTTTTAGTATCGATATTTATTTGATGAAAAATAGCAAGAGAACGCATTTATACGCAATCCTATAGCTGCAATGCAGTTAATTCTAAGCATATTGAAAATACATGGCTATGTAATCGAAAAGAGAATTGCATTGGTTCGAATATAATGTACTTGTTCTGGTAGAGGAAGAAATATATGGTCCGGCTATAATTTACTTATTCTACTGTGAGAGTTGAATCTATGGTCTGCCTGCGATGTACTTGTTCTACTGCAAAGAGAGAATATATGGTCTGAATACAACTTAGTTATTCAACTCCGGATAGAGAAATTTATAGAATATTAGAGTATTTCTCGATTTCATTGACGTTTTCCTATATTTTATAACATATCGCTCATTTGTTACAACAACATAAGTAAAAAATTGTCATTTTTTAGTTGTTTGCAAAAAAGTGATAATAATTCAATATACTGAATGAAGAGTAGATGTATAGTTAGATATTTTTATTCCTCTACAATCAGTACATACAGTTATTATACCAAAATCGCATTTAAATATGATGTTACAAAATTTTAATAATTTAAAATATTCACTCATTTTTTGAAAAACTTTTTTTTATCATTATATCATTGTTGCAACAAATGAGCGACATGGACTACATGTTATTAAGTTGTCTTATCAAAATTTTACATTACTCGGGTACTTTACATTAATATTCAGCCGTTGTTTTACCAAATTATATACTCATATATATGTATATAAAGTTAATTAAAATTAAATTATAATTTGAAACCACTTGCAATCATTGCATAATAATTAACAAAACTTTAAATATATCATGCATTATCTTAAAAAGGAGATAATTATATAAATTGTAACATAACGTAATTTCTTGTGTGATAAAACAAATAGGTATCGCTGCAGCAAATCATGCGCCTGGGATCGGATTTGAATCGATCTTACGGCGCGCAGTAAAGAAAAATCGATCGAAAATATTTTTTCGCGCTAACACAACGTGTCAGTATACGATAAATTCTCTCCGTCTTCCCGATATCACCCGTTGTAATTGCGCGTACGATTGTGCCAGCCGAACGACGCTTTGTTACGCGATAGCGTCGAGGATTCCCGGCGCTATCAAGAACTGGAATTCCATTTCCAGGCCCCACGGGCGCAACTTTTTCTATTCTTCTGGTCCAGCCTGATTTATTGTCACCTTTACGCTCACGTGTTCCACGTGCTCGGGGTCTTTCTACGGGTACACCCTGCGGTACACTCACGTGATTGATACGAGGTTGTAGATCGTGGGGGTAAAGGGACGTTCCATAAGCCTCGCGTGCGGCCGGAATTCCCGATTTTCCGCTCTTTTCCCTTCCAGTCGATGTATACTTTGAAAGTGGCCGACGATACCAGCATGTTAACCATTCGCACGTATCTCGGCTGCAAATTGCAACAAATGCGGATCCTTCGAGATTATTTTGTGATACTTTTTAAGAGATGTATTTATTGAGATATTGCTTTTTGAACAATAGACGTCAAAAAAAATTCTATTATAAAAATATTTTTTTATTAATATGCTGATATTGGTATTGTAAAAATATATGAAATCGTTTTATAAGTTCAAGATATGATAAAATTCTGTTTAAAAAAACCTTTTCGTATGTCTTTGAGGATCTCCGTAGGATCTAAACAGTATCCCTTATGGAAAAAGCTATTACTGTAGTTGCGAGAAAGTAGACAAAACTGTTGTAAATATTACAGTAATTGCTATAGCAAAATTGTAGTACTTAAATATTACAGTAATTGCTATAATTTAGTGTAATTTAGTGTAGCAATTACTGTAATATTTACTATAGCAATATTTACTGTATAGTTTTATATATATTTCTCGCAACTACAGTAGCCTTTCAGTAGTATATTTCCGTAACGGAAAAATACACTTTCAGTAGTATTTTTCCGTAACGGAAAAATACACTTTCATGTATCATATATTAATGTAGATTTTTTTACTCGCGATATCACAGAATCATAAACTTTTGCAAAATCATCCAATACTCTAATATAGATATAACTGATGACATAATTCAAAAGCAAGTCAGCTAGGTCGACGAAATCTATATCAACAAAACAAATTTCCGTTAAATCAGTAAAAAGACTTTATGTAATGTTGTTCCAGAAGCTGAAGTGAGATCGCCACGTTTTACTGGGTCAGGCTGGCTAGCTTTTCCCGCCTTAAGAGCCGCTTACAAACATGTTCAATTAGAACTAGAATTTCGACCAGAAGCATGGGACGGGGTGCTTCTCCTGGCGGGAGAACGGGACGATCTTCAGGGCGACTTTATGGCCTTGATACTGCATCATGGCTTTATCGAATTCAGGTACTTAAATTTTATACTTTACGTTATTTAAGCTATCAATTAAGTGATAATAATTGATATATTATAAAATAATTTGATTTTTTATTTTAATACTATTTGCGCACATAAACGGAATTGATATACTCGCACAAAACTATTTAATTAAACAAATAAAAAAAAACATTCAGTATACAATTTATAACGAGATGCATTAGCAAATAATATCATAAAAGAAACATAGATAGCAAACTCTTTAATAGGATTAAATTCACAGAGGTAACATTAGAATATTAATTTAAAAATTAAGAGATCGTCGTAAATGTCATCAAAGCGTGATGAAGATTCTACGTAACTTTTTAAACAGTGTATATCAAGAATGAGAGTTCATCGATTTTTTTTTTTTTGACCCCGCAAGGAGAAGCAAGCTGCATTGAATATAAAGTTATACGAGACACTTTATAGGACACTTCGGCGCCATAATTTCGGAGACTTTTGCCCTGAGTTTGACGTGATCATTAATTAAGCATTCCGTGCCGAGACTAATTTTTCGTTTACAGCTTAATAAGCCGTGACTTAATGGAGTCTATGTACGATTTATGAGCGCTGTGCAAAAACTAAAAGTTTACCTTTTGCAATATAGTCTGATCCCGTACCACCTCTTTTACGACGTTTTGCGCCACCCCATCGACGGAGAACTTTTTCGCCGTGAAAACGATGCCGTAGGATTTATTTTACAACGCACTACGTAAAGTTTCGTCTACAAGTACATCGCGAAGTTATATAACCGCATGACACCTATATAATATTACGAAGATACTTTTCTCGATTGCGATATATACGTAATAGTGTACTCAAGCAATTAAGATACATTGTCCATATTTGTAATCGTGTTCTTATTGAAAAACTCTGCTATAAGTTATACTCTTCAAATAATAGATTCAAGAATTCTTTAAAGTAAAGTAAGTAATATCTATTTTTTAAATTGCCATGAAATCATATATCTTAGGCAATGCTAACAAATCCACAAAACAAAGCGCAAAATATGCAATAACAATTCAAAAATAATTTGAAATGCAAAGAATAGAATATTCGCCGCACATTTATTTTATAAAATATAGATTTTGCGGGCTGATATCTATTATGGGCAGTATACGGCGCAAACACAAGGCCGCCATGCAAGATGTTATCATTCGCATAATAAAGTCGAGCCAATAGGTAATAATGACAGCCATTCCGTTTATCGTTGCAATATTTATCGAACAATCGCGACAAATATTAAAAAGTACTAAACGTTATCGTAGCTCACTGTAATTGCTACGATAAGCAGTTATTAACTCGCACTAATAAGGACTCGAAACAGCGATAATTTATACTTATCGAAGTAGATGTTTTACGCAAATTATTAACTTCAAGCCACACGAATCTCGTAAATAAGCAAAACGAACGAACGAATTCTCCGACGGCGAAAAGTTTTCATAAATTACGAACGATCGATATACAAAGGCCGAATTCATATACCACGCATGTGGTCGTATTAATACGAGCTATATTACGACTGTTATTAATTAAACACATCGTTTGGAGTAAAAATCGAAACGATAGAGAATAGGGATTATAATCTACTGTTTCGCGCCATACATACGGGTGATAATTATCTCCTCAGCGACGCTTGGATTCGAGTATTGTATCGCGCTTTGAACTTTTGGTTTAAATATAATTTGCCTAATATATATATATATTTCGATATTAATGTAGCGCGAAATAATATACAAATCGTCGGATCGAGTTATTCAAATAACGAGAACTGTCGTGATATATCGAATATATATTGAAAATTAATTTAAAATTAAAAAAACCAAATATTTAAAGCAATTTAAAGTTTATTTCATAATATTTTAAATATCTCGAAGAAGGCTGACTCGAGACTGACTTGCGGCGCAGCCTTAGTATGTTTATTCTTTGTACATCTCGCTACGGCCTGCATAAATTCGTACGATGAGACGAAACTCGGCAGGTAGCGGAGCGAATTGCTCCATACGTCGTATTATCTATCGAAACGCGATTATTTTTTACGAACAATTAACAACTCGCGCGGTTAATTAACTTTCACAATTAACTAAATTGTGATTATATATTTTCGCATGATTGCGTCTCAATTAGTCACTAATTCGACTTTGTTAATTACTCGGTATTAAAATACCAATATCATTTTTTAATTTCTCAGTCATAAACGGGATGTCGCCTGTACACGAAGCGAATAGACTTTTGGACTGAACGATGTTTAATGATATTTAGCTAATGAGTGTCGTAATCAAATCTATATTTGAATATTTGTCATCTTTATATGACATGTAGCATGAATTCGGTATTTGTACATCGTTATTCGTGAGTTGATGAAAACTCTACACCGTTTAAGATTTATTCATTGTGTTTATTTGCGAGATTTGCGGGTGTCGAGGGAATTACAAAGCTTCGTACTTTTTACGCGTTCTTCTTCCGTTACGATGTGCAGTAGTAAAGTGTACGTCGTGTGAGATTAACATCAGGAGTGCAACAGTAAAGTGCTGTGAGATAATCTTATTCTGGTGATTAGTACGTGTAGTCGTAATTAATTGTATTTTCGCGAGTGTTGTGAGTGCAATAAATGAATCTGACAATAAGAGGAAGAGGAGGATGTGTAGGAGATGGTAAAGCACCGTGGCTGAGTAAATATAACATCTCATAGAGACTTATTACGTTAGAATAAATGTGCTCTAGAATAAAGTGATACAAATACATATCCTTGAAAGTAGTATAACCGTCAATTTTTTAAACATTTTACGTACAAATTGTCAAGCATAAGTATAAGATTTTCAGGAGAATCATAATTTAGAACACCATGAAGGTATGGTACATTAATAAGTTTATTTTGTTTGAAAATTATTCAACGCCAACAGATTATAACACATTCAATTTCCATGTATAATATTGTTCAGATAAAAAAAGAAAAAAAAAGAAAGAAAATAAAACCATAATAAATAGAATGTATTGGAATTTTTTAAATATAAATTTTTTTATTCAAATTCCTCCCAAGTGATGAAATTTATATTTCATGGATAATGAAGAAACGAGATGTTTATGTTCGTTCCGTATATTTTTAAATATAATAAAAATAAATCACATCTATAAAAGTGGGAAAAAATCGATAATTTAATTATATTACCTATTTTATTTTCTCTTTCTCAAAAATTTTTAGTAAAATTTGCGGTCTGTGTTTAGCTCTTATTTGTTTCTAGGATTAAATATTATATAAGCTGGGTAAAAATAATATTCAGAGCTTTTTTTAATGTGTATCGCAAACACATAACTAAAAGAACAGAAAATATTTCATATCAAATATTTTATTTACTGAAATATTTTATTTGATAAAAAATACGCTAATGATTATTATTATTTATTCTTATAATGAATAAAACAATTTTATTTTGTAATAAAAATTTTAAAAATTATCAAATTTAAAAAGTTCCTATATAACATCGAAATTATTATTGTATGATATCATATATAGTAATATGTCATAAATGTCATAAGTATGAATAAATTTCCTAAAAGCAAAATATGATGAATAAGAACGTGACAGGTTTCGTAAGTAGCAATTTGTAAAAAAAAAAGAAATGTACATTCTCGAGGATGAATTTCTATGGTAGCTTCTATTCAGATTTTGCACTGAGATTGCATAAAGGGATTAAAATCATATAGATCAGATATCGCGAATTCATATATAGACACATTCATCAGACGTGCCATGTAATTTATTCATTGACTGCCTATTGTTTCCCGAATTCGTTTCCACAGTTCATTAGTCGAACGCTAAATGCTTAGCCATATAGATTTATTGTTCTATTAACTAAGCAGAGAATATTATTGTGCGGGCTTACATATTAGTGGATTACTTTTGCAATATGCGAATAGATTATCGCCACTGATGATGATTTCCATACTGATTGTGGCAAACAACATCAACAATATTCCGAAATAACCGCAAATGTTATTGTATGCTAATCATATTCTTTCTCGTCATTAACGAAAGCTTATCATCATTACGACATCAAGAGATTGTTATGTAAATTATTACGTTCAGCAAACCGCTAAAATAGGCAGGTATATTTGATGACTAATTTTTTTACACTAATAGCGTTTTGTACGTAGGTAGCTACAGTGAGTTTAGACAAAAAAAAAAGAGAAAAACAACGCTACATTAAGCAAATTTATTTCTGGAATAATTTTTTTTTAATTAGGTACTGATTTAGAATTATAAAGGTTTATAACATATTCATATGAAATTCTACTTATTACTTTCTACTTATTACTTATTACTGCGAAACAAAATAAATTCTTTATGGTTAAGCCGGATCAAGCAAACGAGCGTGAATAAACACGAGTGGACGATTTACTTCAATGAACAGCATTGTGAATGCTGGCGGCGCCGCCCGCACTCATTGAAGCAAGTTTATTTGTGCCCATTTATGTTAAGTTTAGTTCCGACTTTATGTATCAAAAGAACATTATTATGGATTCCATACTGGCAACGGCCGCGCGCGATATTCCGCGACGTGTCCAACATTCCCAATCGATTAACATCACCCTCGTACCTTTCTGCGATAAGGTTCGATTGCGGCAGCGGTGTGGGCACCGTGAGGAGCACGGAAACGGTGAAGCTGAATGAGTGGAACACCCTGAGTGTCTACAGACATCGATGGGACGCCTGGATCCAGCTGAATCAGGAGAAGAGGGTGGAGGGACGATCGAAGGTAAGGACACTTCATTTTATTTCCATCAAGGCCAGACGCCGCGCCGCGCCGGATATTATTTACCCGCGTATACCGCGAATTCAAGGAGGGAATCGATATTCCGCGGCGAGGTGGGGCGTATTATCGGGATTACCAGTGAGTTTATTCGAATTCTCGGGATTCTTATGGTGACGTCCACACGCTCGCTCGATCGCCTCCCCCGGGACTATCCGTTCGTGTTTTACGTAAAAACAGAATGAGAAAACAAAACTCAATTACGATAATAGTTTCACTGTCGCTGGTAGCGGTAATTAAGCATTTCATTTCGTTAAGTAAACATTAGTTTGAAATATTAAGTGTAAAAATCTTACTCTCTCAATGTTTTAATAAACATCTACTTAAAATAATGATAAAAGATGCACAAATTAACGATAGTAGACAATAAATTTGTAACTCGTGTAAAAATGTACATATAAAAAATCTACAAATGCAAACGGCATATCATATGCCAACAATATTCATTATTTTTACTCGAACACCATCAATATTCGTGGTCAGCTGTAGTAAGATAAAATTATTTCCATTCGACGAAATCCACTCGCGAAAAGTTTAATGGCAGCAAGGTGGAACCAACATTAAACGCTGTTGTATCTCACGGAAACTTCCCGGAAACTTTAATGAGAGAATGTAGTCCGGAAATTGAAGAAACGTTCTTACATTTCAAAACTTCTTTCTAGGGTATTCCATGTGGGCTGTGCAAAATTTTTGACTTTTTTTATTTTATTTTGCCCGCGAAGTTGAAACTTCGTTGCCAGTTATATCGATATGTGCTAAAACACATTATACAATGTTGCCGCAACAAAACTTTGGCTTTCTTGAAAATTCTCATTTTGCTATAGAAACTGCAAAAACTTCGCATGAGAAATTCCCTGTATTTTTGCTGTGCTAGTTATTACAAGAAATGAGATATGAACAACAGACTCTGAAAAGATCACAATTCTTACTGTAACAAAAGTAATAAATTTCTTATTAGTTAGCATAAGAAATCATAGAAAATGCAATATTCTCTAATTAATTTCAAACAGAATTTAATTTAAAAAGTTTTAATTTAAAGTTCACAATGCATAGGTATGTACATGTATGTTAAAAATATTAAACATATGTATAATGTTAAAAATTGAAAGGTTATGACGAATGGTGGTCTTTCTCGATATTATTGTTAAAAAAAGAGACCAACTGAAAACATTGAGCGAAAAAGTCAACGTAAACAACAGCGGAATAAAGAGGTTATCTCACTGAGAAAATAGTATATAGTAGAATATAATATTCTGGAAACATGCAAAAACACTGACGTAAGAAGCTAAAGAGTACAATAGATATATGTATTGAGATAGCTAGGAGGTTATATAAAAGCGAAGAACCACACCCCAGAACGAGGCCGCACCTTCTCGATCAATCTAATCAGAAAAAAGTGCCATTGTCCATAAAACATGTCTGAATAAGGTACTTCCGGCCAAGTAATCATCTATCAATTTCACTCTTTCCCATATATTAATCCGTTTTAATCGATTACCCTCACGCTTGTTCAGAGTTCATTGAAATAGCGTAAGCCGAAGACCTCATAATAAAAGAGAAGCCGCGTAATAAAGCAAAATTCGGAATGCATTTAAATAGCTGTTGCAGAAATGTATTGTTTTATATTTTATTTATTCCAAGAATTATATACCTATAAAATCCATCATAAATATGAAATAAATATTTATATCGGTACTATTAACATTGATAATAACTTAAATATACAAAAATAAAAAAGTTTGTATTGTATTTTTTTCAATTGTATAATATATATTATCGTACAGGGTGTACATCATAAATGTAAATTGCTACTTCAGGAGCGTATTCTACTCATCGTCCACATTTATGATACACCCTGTATTATATTATTATATACAAATTATATTATTTATATATTGGCAGCATTAATATATAAATGATATGATTGCCCATTGAACAGGAATAATTATTTTACAATTAAGGGGAGAAAAAGAGATAGAGAGAAACAATAATCATTATAACAATTACTATTGATTCAATTATTTCATACTATCATATTCAATTTATAGACCGCAAGATTTCGATTTTCAATTACATTTAAATACAATACAGACCTTATTTAACTTTGTTAAAAAATTATGTAGATATATCAAAGATAATCCGTATTTTCACGTACCGAATGATGATTAATAAATTTTTGTTTGAAATATATATGTCAGAATTTATTAATCATCATCGATTAATATATTTAATCTTTTGAACTGCACGCTATATGTACAAGTATATTGCAACAATTTAATTAGTTTTAACAATCAAAATAGAGCCAGATCGGTTTCACTCTGGTTATACGAACTTCCGCATCTTTAAAGTCTGAAAATCGTGCTTAATTTAGAGTCAGTGATTTAATTTACGATGCATCAGCGTGCCACAGAATAATGCATCTCCTTTCTGATGCAAATGCCGTATAATGTTCTTTGACGCGTGAGACTCCCATGAGATTCGTGTGTAGTCGTTTTGCAAACGAATACACGAATCTTATTGTTAACTAACCCGTTCCTTAGTTTAATTGTATTCGGCGCTTGCTACATAGATACTTCTTTTCTTTTTTTCTTAATTTAGCTTGCATCGCTTCTTCTACGACGCCCATTTGCCTTGTTATTTTGCAAATGAGATGCGGTGCCGAGAACGAAGGATCAGGAGCGTAACTGAGACAACACAAAATGTTTTTACACTGGCGATAACAAATAAATCACTAATTAATTATGTTCTTATTAATTTAGGCATTCTTAAATGATCTATTGATCGTTGCATAATTTCTGACACATTTTACGAAATAGATTAAAACGTTAAAGTTTGTTTAGAAAATTATGGTATAAATGTAAATATAACTGTAATTGTAAGTATGATAAACATATTCGAGTTAATCGAGTTCGATAATCTCCGATAACTGAACATTAAATATTAAAAGAGCAAGTGCCGTCGATAAATGTCTCATCTATTTTTTTTTATCAATCCTCTTTCTTCAACGAGTCTCTCAGGCGTTCAGAATAGCGGTATGATAACGAGGAATTATCGGTTGGTTCTCGACCCATCTGTTTTTCCCAGGCTAGGTTTAATTACCTTTAAAATCGGGCAGCATCGCCGGCAAATGGCTTCGCGTTTCAAGCCCACTTTATCCTAGAGTGCCATTAAGCACTCGGTGTCCTAACGACAGCGTCGTAATTAGAGAAGCCATCCCTGATCTCTCCGTTGTCTTCTTCTGTTCTCGCCGCGCCGACTCTTTCCCTTTTTCTCTCGCTTTCAATCCCTCTTTTTCCCCCTCGCCACATTCTCTTCTCTTTGGAAAAAAAGAACAAGAAGCTAAAGCGAAATTGGTTATAAAAGCCTTCGCGATCACGCGTGTGATCTTCTCACCCGGTTTAAGAAATTTCCTTTAAGAATGGAATTCGAGAAGCGATTTGATAGCCTATGATCGCTCAAGACACGTGCGTTCGAATACAAAACGCACGATAAAACGACGTCATGTATGACAATGGGCATAGTTTGTCGTCCGATACGAGATAGAGAAATGTGAGAAATATGCGATGAGAAAATAACACGGATTTCAAAAACAGAAAAAGTTCCCTATTTCACGTCATTTTGTGATATTGTTCCTTTTGCAATTATTGCTCGACCGTATTTGCTTTAATTTTTAATTTATTCGTTTTATAATTAATGCTATTAGAGTCATGCACTGTGTAGTTATTTGATTAAAGACTTTTTTGCGAGAGACAAACTTGTCACAAATATTTTAATGTGATTTAATTTTCTGTTATTATATCAATTAATGCAACATTAATAAAATTCTTTTAAACATAAAATCTCTATAAAAATAAATTAAGTTTATTTATAGTCAAACTATTTTTTTATCTATAGAATTATTTCATTTTATTATACACTTAAATATGATTAAAATGTTTCGAGATAATTTTTATACTGTTATTATTGTTATCACAGAAATGTATAAAGACATAGGAAATAGCGCTGAACTTGTACGTCGAATGGAACAATTTCATGCATTAATCAGGCAACCATGCAATTGCGCCGGTTCGTGCGTTACACTGTAACTACGTATGTATAACTGGAGAATTCCGACTTCAATTGCAGGGCTTGTTCTCGAGAATTACGTTTCGCGAGCCACTCTTCGTCGGCGGACCCGGAAACACGACCGGTTTGGAGCGACTTCCGGTGAGGACTGGATTTAAGGGCTGCATCCGGCATTTGGAGGCGAACGAGCATCATTATCGCTTCCCATTGGCCCCGCAGGGCGACGCCGCGAATGGATTCGACATCGGTGAGTACAGCATCGCGGCGTAGCATCCGGTTTCGGCATTTCGCCGAGTCGAAGTTTCCTAATCGTCGAACTCTCTCGTGATCGATTTCGAACAGGGACTGAAGTAGTTTCGGCGACAATTCTATGTTGATATTATGTTTATTTTTATGCCTATAATATCACGATGCTAAAACACTTTTAATCATTCTGACGATTACATATAACATGGTCATAATAATTTTCACGGAATATATGAAAGTTTAAAACACGAAAATGGCAGCGTAGTAAAATATATATTAATATATTATTAGTATTTATATATGGTATTATAGTTGTTATAGGTTTTTAAATTTAATGTTGCATTGCAACTAACAACTCAACGTTGTGCAATGCAATGGTTCGACTATAGTTACAATTTTGTTCCTCAACCAGTAAAGTACCGACATACGCGTACGGAGATTTGAGCTACTTGGGGAATCCATTTCCAGCGACGAAAAAAAAAACACGAAGAATATATTCGGAGTTAAATCGAGCGGGCGTCGGAGGATTTGCCAACTAAATTCATGTGACACCTGTTGTCCGTTTGCCGATATAGCTGTTAATTCGGCCACCCGGTAGCATTCTGTCGCATTCCGACCGATCATGTCGTAGATGCAAAGGCGGCTAATTAGAGTTCATAGTTATTAATTGTTTCAAATATTTCAGCTCTGGTTCTACGTCAACTTTACAGCTGTCGCGCAACGGAGAATAAATAATAATAATAATAAATCTCTGCACACGGGCGCGCACGAGCCACCTTTATTATTTCGTTGTTTGCATGATAATAAATGATGTACCAGTCTCGTATTAAACGTCGCTTTTTCCCTTTTTCAACTAGTGATTTATTAGGAGAAAATTCGCGTTGCACTGTTATACGAGTTGCGTTTGCTTATGTCGATTGTTCATGAGAAAAATGCATGAACAAACTTTTCCACTCTGCAAAGATAATTATATATTCAATTTAAATGGATTCAACACATAACGGCTGAATAGTATACTCGTCAAATCAGTGTTAGAATTTCATCGGTATTAGATCACATTTTTTTGTTTTTAAAACAAAAACAGCATCGTAAAAATAACTATTCAGATCTAAATGGTTAAAACACTCGAATTTCTTTCAAAATAATAAAAATTTACAAGGGCGATAAAGTAGATCGAAGACGTAGTAACAAGTTAGCTAAAAAAGAGGCAGTAAAGATGAAAAGCTGACTAAAAGAGATAGTGAAACAAAATTTGTTACAAATTTAAACGACCGTAAATATAAGGCCATTCAATTCTAATTCCTAGGTTAAATAACTTAAAGGGGAACAAACATTTTAACGACTAATTTTATGTTTCTTTAATTTGTTTAAAAAATATATATGGCCAAATGTGGAAAAATACTATCTTTTATTTACAAAAAGTTAAATTAACCTTTTCCGAATAGCTATTACGTATTGTTTAATAAGCCATCAAAACTAATAACACTATTTATTTAATTCCTTTCGATATCTTTAACAACTCGAAGATAATAGAACAGATTCAAACAATTTGTTCTATATTTGAATGGTTGCTATACCGTTTTGGTATATCCGCAGTGAAAAATAATACTCGAATAGACTGAACTACTACATCCGCGTAGTTATCGTTTTTTTATGGATTTACAGATTATCGAATTTTTCTTGTTAAAAAAAATCTGAAACTGCGATGTTTGAATAACAGGGATTTCCTGTTTAATTGTGCATCGGAAATGATACACGATCGTGAGATCCGGCAGTCTTTTTCGTCAGCGAAATCGCTGCGTTAACCAAGACTGTGATTATCGCGAGTAATTATCGTTATCATTACCGGAGTGTCGGTAATTAATTGTCAACATTTGGGCGAAGTCGTGTAGGTCCGACTATGCAACAGCTGCTTTATATGTCGCATTAATTAGCTCTGAGTAATGGACATCTGTCTGGGTATTTATATCACGGCGCGGCGCGGCGCAGCCAACCAAATGTTATCTCTATTTTGTAATATCGAGCGTGTTTGTAATATGTAGGTACGGAACATTATTTAGATATATGTAGTCGGACATATCCGAACTAACCCAATCGTGCGACAGATACGATATTAATGTCAGTAAACATGATATAATAGAATATAAATAACACCGAAGCGAAAATGCTCTTAACGGAAGGTACAAGTAAAAGTTTGTTTTAAAGTAAAGCAAAAACGCATTTTGCATTTTGCATGAATAATCTCATTTAATCTTATAATGTATATGCGAAGCGTTTAATATTTTATACTTTGCCTGCAAAAGCTATATATATATATATATTACTGATACAAGTATTATAGATTTCCTTCCTTGGAGCAGATTTAGTGTTTCCGCGTGTATATAATGTACACAATACCATACGGATGTAGTACATTAAAATCGGATGAAACGCATCCGCGAGCATAATCGGTTATGTACGGTTAATCAAATATATCGCACGCATGGAGTACGGTCTTTATTAGCGTGTAGCATTAATTATCAAAGATTAATCGATATCAATCGAGGCATTATTATGTAAATTTACGAAGTACCAATTGCCGAATTGAAACCCGTTTTTATTTACAGTTCGTACATGTTAATGCGTGTAAACATTGTATATAATTAATACAGATATTTAATTTAATCGTGTACGGTTTACACTTTACATGCATTTATATAAGATATGCTCATAATTAATTATTATTTCTATTGCAATTATTATATCTTAAAACATATAATTTAAAAAAATAACAGAGAATGATATCGGAAACTATATTGTATAAAACTGTACAAAAATTGAAAAATTATTCCAATAGAAAACTTATTATTTCTGTTATACTATATTATAAATCGGAATGTGTGAAAAATATTAACGTTTTATTTAATGTATGCAAAATAACATACAATCTCTTTAACATCAAGATTATTCCATTATTATTTTGCTGTTATTTTCGATCTGCGACTATCGGTTTGTTACAAATGGTACCTCGCACGAGATAGATGAGACGGCGGGTTAAATCGAAAGTTCTGCGTTACTTTCCGATTGGGTCTACGTTTGCCGTATGGGGAAACCCATGAAAAGATAACACCATTTAGATTGGAAAACTTCGGCCTGCAGAGTTCGAGCACTCGCGGGACCGGGAGAAAGTAAAAATCGTTCGGGTCATTCATTATTGTGAGATCGATACTGGTTCGATCTTTTCTCAGGCGTTCCGATTCAGATCTTCATCTTTATAAGAATGATTTTAGTCCAGTGTTAATCTTTCTTTCAGTTTACCGAGCTTTTTCTCTATACATAAAACCAATAACAAATAAATATAAAAAAATATTTATAATAATACAATAAATAACTATAAATTAAAATAAAAATGAAGACGGTTAGAAAAAAAAAATTATTAGAATTATAAATAATAGGTAATCAATACATTTCTAATTATTATTTATTAAATATTAAATCTGCTAGTTGAAAGATCAAAATTGACTCTGTATTTTTTCTACTTTTGTAAGCTATTTTGTGTAACGTATCCGTTTAAAGGAGTCCGGTTACAAGTAATAATCTGCAATGTGATAGCACAAGTTTGCGGTTTCACAGAAATATCAGCAAAAATTAGTGATATAAAAAACATATAACGTTAAATATATATCTCGCAGGGGGGGGGGGGGGGAGGCGGAGAATCGCATATTTCCGATCGGTTGTTCCGTCACGTCGTAAAGCTCAATATCGAGCGTTATATCGTGATGGTCGACGTCGCGGGCGCGCGCAAAAAAATTCCCCGTCAATGCTCGCGCGCACACGCTAAATGATATCGTCGAAAATACGATGAGGCGGAAGAGATTGATACTTCTCCACTCCGATAAATCGGACGCGACGGCCTGTCGAGGCGCGAGTGATTTTATTGGTTTTATCTCGCGCGCAGTCGAATCTCTCGTGTCGAGTCGAGTCGATTCGAGTCGAGTCGAGTCGAAACGAGTCGGCCTCGATCCGATTCTCACTCGTGTAACTCTTGATTTCGCACTCCGCCGGAACTTTTATTAAATCGCCTGATTTATTGTCGTTCCAGAGGAGTGCACGGCCGACAGGTGCAGTAAGGTGCCGTGTTCTCACGGTGGAAAATGCCTGACAACCGGAGGCGACACGGCTGTCTGTCTCTGCCCGCTCGGCTACACGGGCGATCTTTGCGAGACCCGAGTGGACCTGCAGGTAACTGAATCAATTTCGAAGGAATTATAAGCATGAACAATTACCAAGCCTATATAAATGAGAACGAAACCTGCTGATAATAACAAAGTTCCGAAGTATCTCTTCGTTGACTACGCAAAATTGCAGCATTATGCTGCAATTTAGCATAGTCGATGAAACCATTAGCAAATCACTTGCCATATATAAGAACAGCAAAACAGTTCGTTATAAATAATTGGTGAACCATACGGTTTCTTTCTAATTTATTCTGACAATTTTTATATTTTTGTAGATAAGTACACATTGAACACACATTTTTATATTGCGTGAATTTGTTTTACGTAACGTTTTTGTTACGAAGCAGTTATATCTTAGCACACATTCATACTAACGTACTTAAATTAAGGTTCATCTCCGTTAAAGGTTACCAAGAATAGATGAAAACTAAATCTTATAATAGTCACGTTTCTAAATAAATTTAGTAATTATATATGGGATAAGTTATAGACAGATAAGACAGTATCAGAAAATAGATTTCTTCTCATTTTGCAAATGGAAAGCAATTGCATAATAAATTGTTATGGTTCACCAATTAAACTTGTTACTATCGTAAAGATATAGACGTTTGTGATCTCAAGTCCAATTTTAGTAACCTTCGGATTCTACAAACGAATATTGCAAGGCGCCGTTCGCATGCTAATAATGTTCACTGCAATCTATTTCCAGTCGGCTAAAGTTTTCATCTAACACGATTCATGTTTTCAATTAAGACTTAACGTATATTTCCTTCCTCCAATTTTTAAAATAGCTTTTACATAATAAAATAATGTAAAATTTGATAGAAGATTGAAAATAAGATCTTGAAAGATAATAATCTTTCAAAAACGAGATTCAATAACAGCATTTATTAAATATTTTAAATTATGAATTGCACCAGTCCGCGAATCCATAGTTTTTAACGCGAAAATTATAGTAATATCGTTTAGTTTGGCACGTTTGTTTTACTATTCCATTATAATATTCCCATCTAACATATGTATAAAATTTCACTGACACATCGGATCTACTTAGGAGCTCATCAATCATACGCGGCGTAATAATTAAATTCGAAGACAGAAATTTATTTTTCTAAATGCCAAATTATTTTCAGATCTAAAAATTAATATATTTTTTCGATTGTTCGTACCCGCGTCATCAATTAGAAGCATTTCAATATGTGTAACTTCGGCTTTTAAAATATCTGTTTTTCGAAAAACACATGTGCACACGAGTATTGCATATATATATATATGTAATTTACATAGAACGCTTCCATATACATGCAATGGGATTGGTATTGCATCTACACTTGCGAATACAGGCAGCGAACAGTGTTTACATCATATCAGACATGACGTTGTTATGCCGTACGAGATTTGATGGATTATACGCGGCTTACTTTAATCTAAGACTCGATTGCATCGACAGCGTGAATCGAATAAGTTTGACTTAAGCATCAGCTATCTCTTTCTAGATTAAATTCAAATCTATCGTGAACGAAGAAAGAAAATTTAATTCTTTCACAATGTCTTAGCAGTTCTTTTTGACCTTTTGGTCTCCTACTTTTTCTTGCTCGAAAAGGTATACACATATGATTTTAAATTGCTTGAAAAAAGAGATTTGAGTTCACAAAGAACTATAAAAAATTTACAGCAATGCTCACAATATTAAAATAGTTCACATTATTACAATTTATTCAAGTTGTCTCATCGTTTTCGCGTAAAATACGGTGGCTACTCTATTTCGTTTAGTATTAAAAAGCGGCGTCCCTTGTATGTGCATTATTCCGCTGTGTTAATGCATTGTCGCAAAATGCGACGCGGCATACGAAAATCGATCGTGTCCGCCCGCTTCGCAAATGACGCGTTTATCCGCGCAATAAGCGGTTGGCTACGAGTAATTAACATCCGCGCTGTTAACGAGGCGGCTTAAACGAATAGACGGACGTAATTCGCGCATCGATATAATATATGCATATGCATGCAAAAATATGTTAGACCGAACGATGTGTATTGAAATCCTCGCGATTTATATCAGTTGGCTTAATGGAGCGAACGCTGCCGCACTCGCCGGAAGTCACCGTATGTGGTTCGCCCGCGCGTGTGCACGGTTTCTCGCGGATTATGCGCGGTTATATATACGATATCGATTATGGCAATGGCGGAAAGCGGCGGGGTAGCATATTCGTGCTCTCCGATATGATGAAATTGGTATCGGCGTACGACCGATATTACTTCCGGCACGAAGCGGAATGACACCAAGTGCCGAGCTATAAAGATTCATTCACATGCATCAGTGACGGCTCAGTACTTTGGCCTCAATATCAGTGACGGTTGCGCTAAGCTCAATTTTCTGGGAGCCAATCAAACTGTCCTCGGCAAATGTAAAGGATTGCAAATTGAAAATTATACTTCAACATTAAAGAATGCTATTTGATGTTTTCAAAGTTGGACATATTACTTAGCTTTGTATTGCATATAATTTGACAAAGCAATTGCAGTTAATTTGTGCAAGTAATGACTTAAATTGAAATTCTGCAAGGCTTTTAAATAATTATTTCATGTTATGTTTTGTTCATGATGAAACGGCATATTAAAAGCTAATGTAACTTTTATTCTTTGCATTGCAAACTGCGTGCAGGAACTGCGAGAGTCGGTAAAGAGATGTATCCTTCGCAGGATTACTGCGTTTCCGATCTCGAAATCAGAACATAAACTAGCTCGAGAAACGACCATAAAGGGTTCGAGTTAACGAGTATCACTTCAAACTCGAAACTCGTTTTCGAACTTTGGTCTCGCCCGACCGTTCCCGAGTTTAATTCCATTAACGTACAAGCGGAAGAGATATAGCCGCAATAACCAAATGTCGTCGGAATATCGTCGTAATTTACGGCGACGACCATTTTTGCCACATCCGTTGAAAGATGCCGCCGGATGTCGAAATAAAACGCTATAATGTCGAAGTAAAACTAAACAGCTAGAGCGGCGTGCTTTCGTAAGGAATGCGCGCGACAAGTTTTATTGAATCATTTGGAATATGTTTCTTCCAGTCAAACGTAACGAAATAGCTCACGAATTTTCTTGTCAGAATGTAAAAGATGAAATTAAGCATGTATTCTGCGCTATTAGATTTTGTAGAGATAAACAAGTAGTTGCAAAGATACAGAATTTTTTAAAATTTATCTATTGGATTTTAGACAGATATGTAATATTAAAAAATCTAACGCTTTTATTATGCAATTTTACTTTACTTGAATTTTCACACACTTGACGAGTGAAAAAAAAAATGATCCATCAATGTGTATAGTATCTTTATTAGAAATGTTTAAAAAGTGCAATTTTGAATTTATAGATGTAACTTTTTGAAAATTACAACCTTCTTTCTATTCATATGCTATTTGAACAAAGTGGTTTCTGCACTAAAGCGAAGGAACGTGAAAAGCTTTTCCGGAAATTACATGTTCAAGAGAAAGATACATTACGTTTTGTAAGCATAAAATTATGTTGGTCAGAAAAAGACATATAAATGACTCTTTTATATTAAAAAAATGTGCCATAAAGATATTATAAAATATTCCATTATCGATTTTTGGAAACTTCATAGCTGCAAGTTGTTCTTTACGTCTTTATTTATTACTCTCTTTTATGACACTTCTATATTAAATTTATGTCCCAATAATAAAATGAAATGATATATGGCATACTTTATTTCATTATTGAGCAATAAATTTAATAATAATAAGTAATATTAACATACACCAATGTGTATGCGACATAATGTGATCTCTTGATTATATTTTTAATAGTATTATTGAAAGCATAAAATTCTTTGAATTGTGATTACATAAATTAAAAGTATTATTATTTATAATCAAATAAATTACACAATATAATTGTCAATTATATTATATATGTGTCAATTATATAATTTCAACTTAAAATATATTATTTATCATAAAATAAATCTAAAAAATATATTAAAAATAGATATAATATAAAAACACGTAATTAAGATTTTAATGTGCTAAACATAAATATAACGCAAAAGCATTTTCCGCAACACAACAAAATCAATAGAATCAGCAAAGCGTTACCCTCAAAGATCGAACGGTCGTTCGGTGGTAAAACAATATTTAGTTTCAATGACGTTTGTAATACCCGACGCGTATACGTCTGGCCACACGTACTCGATAATGCAATAGGGCATTTCAAAGTTCAAAACTGTCTCGTAAAAAATTCGTAAACCTATCAACGGTCCTTGCCCGCCGCAAACGGCCGTGAACATGAGAAGGACATAAGCCGAACAGAAGGACGATGTCGTAAGCGGTGAGAAAGGATGTTCCACGAGGGATCTTACGAGTTGCTGGTCTTTCGCATAATACAAGGTTACTTCGCTCCTGGGCTCTCTCGTGGGAGCTCCTTATCACCGGGACGTAGCTTTTACGTAGCAGGAAAAGGAAAAAGAGGCAAACGAGCACATAGGCGTCGTACGGGATGACTGGAAATTTCTTAAAGGAGCATATCCCGTCCGATTTAACGGCCCTGTCAGGATTCCTTCCGTTTTGTTGTAATTAATTTACGCTTCTCTTGCGCGCCGTACTTTGAAGGGACCGTTCGCGCGCGCGCGCGCGCTTTTGTTCCTTTGATTTTTCGAATTTTTCACCATCCCCCTGGACGACTCGATGAAAAGTACACTAAAGGATCTTTGAGCGTCCGAGCGAAGAAATTGAATAAGTGCCAAGCAAAATGAAAAGATGGACAGAAAATGATATTCGTAATGTAATTTATAATAAATAATTTGTTCATATAGCTATAATGTTTCCTTGATATAAATACAGAGAAGTAAATAATTTTCAATTAAATAAGAGAAAGTGAATTTTTGAGAGCAAAACGATGATATAAAACTTTATTTCATAACTAATTTAAAGTAAACTATATTTTAAAAGAATACTATATTTCTTTCTTTCAAAAATCAAATAAAATTCTCATTTTGAGAATGAATAAATATAATATAAACGCTTATTTATTTTACAAGACAATTCTTGTCCAATTCTTACGAACATATTTATAATTAAATAACTATCAAGAAGAGGACATATATATCGAGCTTTTCTACTTTTGTTCTTCTAGTAATCTAGTTCAATATTTCATTGAGAACTTATCGTTCCAGCTCAATATTTTAGATCCTTTTTTTCAAAAATCAAATATTCTCAAATTCTTATTTTGAGACTAAACATATATATTTTCTTATTCACAAAAAGTATAAAAACTGCGCTTATTTATTCTACAAGATAATTTTTGAGATACCTATTTATACCCGAGTCTCTCTCGCACGAATCGTATACTTACGAACATATTTATAATTAAATAACTTGAAGAAAGAGACGTATTAAACTTTTCTACTTGTTCTTCTGGTTCAATATGCCATTGAGAAATTTATCATTTCGGCAAGATAAATTCTAGCTCAATATTTAAGATCACGGAAAAGAATAACCCACGTTCCAGCTTTCTCTCTTCTTTAAATTTAGCTTAGCACATTTTTATATGTTCATTTCGAACAGATAAAAGATATGAAGGGTATAAAAATCAAATTAGGATAACAGTTCACGAAATTTCCATACGAGGAAATTATATCGTTCGGTCTCACGTTTAATGATGTATCTAAAGGTAAAAAAGATAAAATGAGATAAGATAAAAAATTATAAGATAAATTCTAGCACAAAATTCATGGCGAAATACATTGATGTTTCCCATCTGAGTTTCGCTAAACGTCAAGGTATTATAATTCGAAGGATCTTGCGCGTTTACGTTTTGCATTTTATCTTGAGAGGTAACTGACGTACAAACAATTATCAGCCAGACTCATTAAGACGGAAACAGCCCGCTTCGACCTCTTACTGCTCTTAAGGCACTTGGCGAATGTAGCTATATTAAGGATTATCCGAGACAGTGACATACAACATATTTGCATTCCGATTTACGAAAAGCACAAAATCCCGCGCCGACCGTAAATTAAATAACAGCTGTTCCAGGAGTTTCTCTACTTTATGCTTGACGACGAGAAGAGTTATTACAGTTGCCGCAAGAGAAACATATGTGTGTGTGTGTGTGTGCGCGTGTGTGAGAGAGCGAACATGTGCGTTTGTAATAACAAGAAATATATTGCTTAAATCTGTCACAATTTTAAAATTGTTACGAATAAAGGGACAAATATCTGCAATAAACTGCAGGAAAAACGATTTTAAACACAGCAACAAAAGAAAAAAAGCACTTTCGAGATAAAACTGTTCTTTCTTATGTAATAAGTATATCTTTAATTAATATAATACAAAATATGGAATAAGAAGAATAATTTAATTTCTAGAAGACGTATATCAAGTTAATTGAACAAATAATATATTAACACAGCAGAAAATTAATTAATTAATACGACACTAATTAATCGTGTCTATAATATGATATTTATTCATACTGTTGATATTCATTTGAATATTGTTTGAAGAAATGCTTATTAATTCGCTCATCTTTCTTCCATTTCTTCCAAATAAAATATGATATATATTCATAATAAGTTAAAATAAAATTATTTTGAATTAACTAAAATGTTATTTCTATATTAGTTTCTAAAATGTTTCTTCTTTTCTTTTATAATACATATTTAGTTTATGAATAGAGTTTTGCTATTATAATATAATAGTTCCTTTTGGAATATAACGCTTAAGAATACGATAAACGTTAAGGTCTCACGTTCCCAGGGAAGACGTTCTCAGTTATGAATTATCACGGCAATTTCCTCCTTAAACTTACATTATCATTTACAGTAAGTACACGCGAGTTCGTATGATATTAGCATTTCCTTTCTAAAACATTATCACAAGAAATCTCTATTAACATCATATCTCCAAATTTAATTAAGAAAATAGGAAGATATTATACATGCTTATCCTTTCACTTCCTATAATATGTTCTTTATATTTTATATTCTTTCTTTCGCTGTCTTTTAAATTTAATTTAATTTAAAATTTAATTTTCTAAAAAAAATCGCTCACACTCCCATATGTGAGAAATGAAATTCTTCAGTCTGATACCACAAATTCCACGTTGATATATAAGGTATTTCAGACATACTGAGCCATTTTTTAAATCCTTGACTAATTACTTTTTTTTTACAAAAGCGTCGATTGCAACAAATTGTTCTTCAATTGTAAATCATACAAAGAGCTTTTCTTAAATTGTATGCTTCAAAGTTTCAAATAAACTTAATTTAATTCTAGAGGGACTTTAGTTTAGATTTCTCAATTTTTATGAGAGTAAAACGCAGATATTTCATGTTAAATGCTGAAAACTTGCGACATTTGATCTCTCTCGATCAGTGACAAAAAAATCAAGCGCAGATTGATCGAAGATAGATAGTTTACCAAACATATAGAGGACATTCTATATATTTTTTTTTATGCCAATCCACTACCACTTATAAAAGGCACGAAACGTAACAAATACGACACGTTCGCCCAGTCTCCCCCAATGGCAGGCGATTAAGGGTGGGAGGCAAAAACGGGAATGCATTTGCCCGGTAACGACATTTCCATGCAATCTCAGACCGCAACGGTGTTTTATTCCCGCAGGTTCCATCCTTCAACGGATCCTCTTACCTACGTTATCCGGGATTGGCGGACACGTCGCTGTCGTGGCTGGAATTGTCCGTCACGTTAAAACCGACCGCGCCGGACGGCGTGATACTCTACAACGGCCATCACAGCGACGCGACCGGTGACTTTATTGCTCTCTATCTCTCCTCGGGCCACGTGCAGTTCACCTTCGACCTCGGAACAGGACCTGCCACTTTGAGGTAAGCCGATGGCCCTCGACGAAGTTTCTGCGAACGGTTCCGCGAGCAGCGCCGAGCGCGCAACGAACAGTTAGCTCGAAAGTGACAATCTATCCTCGGAGCTGTTCGTTTCGCGATAGACGCATTGTTACTCATACCGCGCAGCGCAGCGTCCCTCGGCAACGGGGCGCTAATTGCACCGTTTGCGTATGCATCATCAAGATAATTAAACCGATACGCGATCGATATCGTATACGCAAAACGCTCGAGCTGTTTTTGCGCTACTGTTTTGCGAAGAGAGAATTTTTAATGTACCTTAATGCTGATTATTCAAGTTGATTTAATTCGTTGCATTAATTAACGAGAAACGAGATTATTGTTAAGTAAAATTGTTCCATGGCTGTGACTGTTCTCTTGGATAAACGTCAGGAATATTTAACAAACGGTTGCATTCGGGCTATTACATTTTTTAATATTGATTATCATTTTTTGAGATAATATTTTGCGATAAACACACAATAATAAGCGCTAATGCTAATCGGATTGTTTGATTTAATTCGTCGTAATAACGAACAATAAATAAAATTATTAAGTAAAATCGGTCAAAGCTGACAATTACATATATATTCTCGTGGGTAATTACTGCAAACAAATGTTTCTAATAATTTAAATCGAGTTAATATATTTTTTAGTATTGGTCAAAATTATAGGTGAAAAAGACTTGTCATACTTTCAAAATTAAAAAGATTTCTCGTCGAGAAAGATTCTTTTCTTTAAGGCTGATATATAGTGTTAAAAGATTATAAGTATCATTTGTGAAAATGTATCTAAATCAAATGTAAATGTCTCGTAAATATTTTTTTCAAGTAGACCTCATACATGAATGACCAGGTATTTGTAAATTATCCAGAAAAGATTACAAATTGCCCAGAGAATGTTTGTCAAGAGGATTATTACATAAAATAACCTACATGTACCGCAAACTTGAAAGTCACACCAAAAGTAGTACATTGCAGACGATTGAAAGTCGAGAATCTAGTTCTGACTTGGATGGTACAATCCAAATTTTGCAATTAAATATAGTGGATTACCTAAATATAATGGATCTTTGTGGTTGGAAAAGAGCACATCAGACAGGCGCTATAGGAAAACGTTTGAAAAAAGGTGACAATAACTTGTCATTATACACTTTATGTTTAGTAATAATTGAGTGAGTCATATTTATAAGTCACGGAAATATATATTTAATTATAATATGTTACGTATTGAAATATTAAATGTAAAGTGTAGGGTAGACTCGGGTATCTTGTCAATGTCCATATCTTGGCCATAGAGGAAGGATGGCTAATCCATGTTCATTCGATGTTTCATGGCGAGCTAGATTGAAAGAACATAGGTTAGCCATTTTTCTTCTATATGGTCATCTTACCCGAGTTTATTCTATAATGACAAATTACCTGTTTCCGAGATAGAACATTAACAAGATTGCTTCAAGCTTCTTTGAAGAGCAATGCAATGACAGTGATAATAGTGCAGTAACACATATGTGGGATGAAAGCCGGAATCAGCCGGGAACCAATCGAGGATCCTTTAGTTACTAATCATCCGCGCTCACAAAGAACGGCGTCATCCTTTTATTTCTGGGCAAGATACGCTCGACGATTTGCACACCATTACCTTTCGAGAGGTGGCGGTCAAATAAAAATCGACGATTTTTAGTCGGATAAACCCAGATCTTCGGCTCATTAGAATAGCGTACATCTCTCTGCATCATGATCGCCACAAATAATTCGAATAATTGTGACTATATTGATTTCTTCATTTGAATACTTATTGTATTCATAGGAGTCAACTTCAAACGAAAACTAAATATAAAGGAATACCTATTTAAAAAACTAGTATTTTATAAAATTCAGTTTTCATTACTTAAGATTTTTTTTTATCTTTTAAATTTGAAACAAGAAATGAAATTAGTTAAACGAACATAACACATGATTGTTTGCATTATTAATAATATAAAATTATTCAAGAATATACTTCTAAAAACAAATTTGCGAAATACTTCGCATTCGCATTTTGATAGCTCAACTAGTAGACTACTTTTAATTCCATTGAATAAAATCTGAATATTGGAATATCCATCTAAGCTTCACAATCGAATAAAATTTTAAATAAATCGATAATCCAAAAAAGATACAAATATTGCGTTGTTATATGTATTTATGCTATTATGCAAGTCCGACAAATAATCGGCGCGCGTAGTTTATTAAGTTGAAATATATGTATATGTCCCAGTATATGTCTATTATATACATTGTAATTCGTTACTTCTGTAACTATTAATTTCTTTACTTGCGCATCACGTACCGCGCCTGACTCGTATAGCTGTTTATTAATTTGTTTATGTTATTAAACATGTAATATATCATATATACATGTATATATTTATTATTGAGTTATACATATTTTTACATAATTTATTCTATCATCTAACTTCTAATCGATTTTCTTGTGAAAATATCAAGAGAGATTATGTCGCAAGTTTACAATTTTCAAGATTAAATTGTAGTAACTCAGCAACATATATCTTATTAAATCTCAACAACATGTTAACTTCCAGTTTCAAATTGCAAGTCTAAAAAAAAATAGAATTTTCTCAAAATTAAATAAGAAAATTTAAATTATAAAAAAAGAATATGTTGTTAAATATTAGTGTGACAATATCGAAATATTCTTTGTGCGTAATATAATTATATTAACGTAGATAATATAATTCATTATATTTTTACCGTGTTATGAATAAATTCATGACATGTAATGTAATATCAAAACTTAATCAGATATACAAAAGCTAAGGACAAGCATGTATATTTGGGTGTTAGTTGTTTTATTTGTAATATCAAATATTCAAACAACAATTTCTTAGCCGTGCAGAAACATTTATATGGTATTTATAATTCAATCTGATAGATAATATATAAATCTTACGCGAAAAAACATCTCCTTTCCGCTAAATAAAAAGCGACCGCTACAAAAAAAAAACTCCGACGTAAAAAAACGTGCATTATTACGTGCGCCATTAAACAAAGATATTTAAACCCGTCCGTGTCTGGAAAAAAAAAAGAAGCAGTTAACAAGCGAGGTAACTCGAAGTTCCAAGCGCGCCGTATCTTTTATCATAATAGCGCCGGGCGAAAAGTCCAATATGAAAATTTCCGACTCCATCTCGTTCCTTTATTAATTAGCAATTTACTTCCCGATCCCATGAACTTCCTCCCTCTCTCCCCTCTTTACCCGCCCCTGTCCTTTTCTCCTGATTCGACATTAATTATGCAAGAATTTCTTCTGTCGAATCCCCTCGGAAAAGGAGTGCCGGTTCCCCGCCTACAAGAGAGAATCCTGAGAATCCATTGTCTACGGAACACGCGCCGACTTTCCTCGCGAAATTCAAATTGAATGATCCGACTTTGTGGCCGTGCGCGTAAAGTTTCCGCGGTACGTGCGCGAATTTTCGTTTCTGTGTCCGCTTGGAGGAAAACTCCAGGCCGCCTGGCTGACTAGCTGGCGCGGCCTCCCGGGCGTCGTTGTGAAATCAAATCGATGGAGCGTCCGTCAATATCGAGTTAACGTCGATTATAATTGTAGACGTGGCGGAGGAGAGCGAACCGTGTTAATTGCCTCGCACGGACACCGCGACAAAAGGTGCCGTTTCAATTTTTCAATGCGGAAGTCCCGTTCTACTTTTTTCCCGTTATAACGTGTTTTTGTGAGAGCTTTATTTCGCGGGAAAGTACAACTGTTGCTCCGGGCGGAATGTTTTCCAGCGTTAGGTTTTCAGTGGAAGAGGCGCAATGTAAAAATACAATAGACATACGTATACAGGTATCTCGTAAAGTTTACGTAAAATCACATTGAGATTGACTTTTTTTTTTGTAAAAGCATAAACAGAAGATATAAGAAATATAAATTTGTTCTCGTACGAAGCTTTATTTAAAAAAAAATTAAATTGTTCGAAAAATCCGTAAAAAAATAATATCGTCTCTCTTTTCCAACTTCGGATATTCTTCAAGAACTTTATGTCATACTTCGCCAAGTTAGAAGGATCATATCATCTTTCATGCTATACCTACTTCATTTTCCTGTTCAGAACTCTTACAACGAAGAAGATTAGAATAAAATACGCTTACTAGAAATGGTATCAAAGAAATTAATTTACGAGAAATATACATAAATAAATGTAGAAATGATCTGCTTTGTTTAATGTATCATGTTGATCTCGCGTTTAATGTGCTTTGTCATAATGTGTCTAGTCATGTTTATATTTAACTTTCGGCCGTAACTTGCAATTATCACAGAAGGACTCGATATTGTTTTCACGTGACTGCTAATCGCGCGTCTCCTAAAACTCCTAGGCGTGTTGACGTGTAATTGGGTCACGTAATATTCGAAGAAGGATGGAACAAGGAGAAAGATCGGCTCTCGAAGGTCCGATAGCAGACAGAGTAGAACAGCAAAAGAAAGAGATCAACCGCGTTAGTTTTCGAAAATTCTATATTCAAAATGACCTAAAAAAACAAATCACTAGAATAGGAGATTACCACTTTACTCATGAAACATTATAATGTATAACTCAAACGTATAGATTCGTATCCACTAATTAGGAAACGTTCTTTTCTTTATCTAATAAAATTTTCAGATTTCTATGTCAAAATATCACCCGGCCGCGGCCCTTCAAAAGTTAATGACGTTGCATTATCGTTTCAGAAGCGAAAATCCGGTTCGTCTTGGCGAATGGGTCGAAGTTCGGGTCTCTAGGACAGGTCGTTTGGCATCCCTAGAAGTTGAGGACGACCCGGCCCAGGAAATCCTGGCGCCCGGAGCGTTCACGCAATTATCCTTGCCGCTGAACCTCTATTTGGGCGGCGCGCCGTCCCCCGACATGTACTCGCCGAAGATGAAAACTACGGCCAGCTTCGTCGGTTGCATTCAGACGATCGTGCTGAATAATCGCGAGGTAAGAACACCGGGATTATACAGGCTGCTCCGAAGTTGCGCGGTAGATAATGCTACCGTCAGAATACCTCGGAGTTTGAGCCTCGCTGGTATGGTAGATAAGATATTGAAAGTTCTACTTCAATCACTTGGATTTAGATCTTTATCGTCGTTTCTGGCATTTTATAAAAATAGATCGAGATAAAATAGACGTAAAGTAAACGTAACGTATAATTATAAGTTTAGGGAATTACTAGTAACAGAAAGCAGATAAAAATAATAGTATAACAATTTAATAATAGATTCAAATTAAAATAAATAAAATAAAGTCCACTAAAAATTAAATTAAGTTCTCCGAAGTTAAAAGAACCATCTAATTTCATTTTCTACAAGAAATATTGAGATTACAATATCTCTATAAAGAAAATTGGCTCTCTAATATAATATTCTCTAATATAAAAAAAATTAATATAAAAATAAATTCGGTTTCTATCTCGTATTATTTTGACCGAATATTTTTAGTGCCGTTTATATTATTATTTTTATAACATTATAACTACTATAATTCTTGTCGTAGGTGGGTATCCTAGCCGAGGCGTTAGGCGGGGTGAACGTAGGAAATTGTGGGCACGCGTGCGAGGCCAGGCCATGCGGCGATGCGGAATGCCGGCCTCTTCGCGAACGATTTACCTGCCGGTGCCGTCCAGGGGTACCGCACCCTTGTCCCGCACCGGACGATTATACGCCGTTGGTCCCGCCACCGGCGAGAATTAGCAGCAATGCCATTCCGTCCGTGAGATACGAAAGAGCTGTACCCAGCTTCACCGGCAGCGAGAGCTACTTACATTATAATGACGCCGACACGATGAAAAGGTGCTCTATATACAAAAATAATGAGATGCAAACATCAATAACAAGTAGTTCTGATAACCCTGCACTTTGGAAACGTTAACCGATTGAATTTAATTATAAAATCAAAACAATCATTATCTATTTTCCGGGAATTTCGAATAAACACCGAAATGAATATAGAGTAAACTCGGGTAAGATGGCCATAGAAGAAAGATGGCCAACCTATGTTCTTTCAATCTAGTTCGCCATGAAATATCAAATGAACATGAGTTGGTCATCTTTCCTGTATAGCCATCTTACCGAGTTTACCTTAGATCTTTTTTTCGGATAGCAGAAAAGTCACTTCCTATTTGTGCAATATTTGTCATTATGTTCAAAATTATTCGTGATACGTGACTCTCTGCACGAGCGTATTCATGAACTGACATATTTTCTACCCTCATGATTTCAGTGATGTGTTGGCGACACATTTTTGTTGTTAATTTAAAAATCCGGTTGATTCGTCTATTAGCACTTTATTCATGCAAGCGTGAAATAATCAGCAGCACGCAAAAGTTCGGTAAATGTCAAAGCGACATGTCGTCAGCGTTTGAAAGGCGAGTGGGGCGGTAAACAGCGTTACACGTTGCACTACACAATCGCTCCTTGACCTGATTTAATAACGCTGTGTTAGTTTATCGAGCGTTCGCGCCACGCACAAGTGACAAGTGACCGATCTGAGGATAAATAATTTTTATTATGTTAGACAACTTTAATTTACGTGTAATGGTTGTCTTATTATTTTTACGAGAAACAATTATCTATATCATTTTCTAACAATGCTATAATAGCATTTCTTTCTTGCATTATTCACGTAAAGAAGTGCAATATTTGCACTGATCATGTAAAATAAATTAGAATATAAAATTGTTATTAACAATTAAAATAGATATTGATATAAGTTGAATTATTTCCTTTCTTGATTGATCTTTTCTCATATGCGTGCGTAGTCGTGCTCGTCGCGATCCCTTTTTTTGATTTACTGTTAACACGCTCTTGTCTATGTTTGCAGGATAATCAGCTATAGGGTAGACATCAATATGAGATTCCGCGCAAGCAGCAGCAGCGGCCTGCTGCTGTGGAGCGGCCGCCAGTCGGATCCTCAAGAACAAAGGGACGAGAACGACGACTTCCTCGCCCTCGGCTTGGATCACGGTTATCTCACTCTCGCGTATAATTTGGGTTCCGGGGAAGCCGTGCTGCGGTATAATCTCACGCGACTGGATGACGATCTATGGCATCGTATCAGGGCCGTTAGGTGAGAATAAACGCTTTATACGCTTCGTTACCCAACCCTTCCATCCGCTTGCGCGCCTATTTCCATATTTATTTATTTAATATCCCTTTATATATTGATCAATATGTAAAGGAGGAGATATTAAGAGACAAATTACAATGTCTTTTTCAATATGGAGAAAATAATTATTATTTTTACGACCACTTGACGTGTCATCGTTAACAAAAGACGAAATAAAATACACGTATATTTAGATGGACTATAGATTTCATTACAAATGTATTTCTTAAAAAATGATTAATATTAAAAATGAAAAACCTATGTTATTCTAGAATGATTCAATTTTAATTAAATAAAAATGGAAATAAATTCGTTAAAAAAATTGTTAGTCAGGAAACTCGTAGTTTCTATATATGCGAGTAGAATATTGCATGCAAATGTTGTTCTATTTCCCATTTTTCATATAGCCGCGTGGCTTGAGGCTACCATTTAAAATGGTACTATTTCCATGAAATTTCATGAAGAAAGAATATTTTTATAAACGCGCATTCATGTATTAATCTGCACTGTCGTATATTTTGCCAAAAGCGAATAAAAAATACTTGTGTCTCTACCTCTTTCCAAAGCAAATTGCTTTTTATTAAAACTGGAGAAAAGAAAAATGTTTATGTTCGAAATGGGTCATAGAGCCAATGAATAACATTGACTTTTTCTAGAAACGAGCAATGGGCATCTCTCGTAGTAGATAGTGGTACTGGTGTCTCGGCATCTTCTCCGGGGCAACTGAGACAACTGAACACCGATACCGGTCTTTACGTTGGTAAATAATCAAATTTTATATCGTTACTACCTTTTTTTTACCACAAAGATTTAATTTTACTCGTAATCTTAAAACATGAACTGCCGTTGACAATATTTCTAAAAGACTTTCCAAATTTATTTTGCACCCTCGTAGAATATTTTCTACGAGGCGGAGGGAAGAAGATGTTGATTGAAGATGAAGTTAATTGTTTTAAAAGTCCTGAATAAAATTATGCTTTAATAATTGTATTTTTACGAACGAAACAAAAATTTACACTTGCGTTTTTTTCCGGATTAAATGCACCTTCGTATGAGAAAACAAATCTTTTAATGGAGATTCAATTTGTTCTAAAGGCGGTGCACCGGATATCGTGAGGACAACGGGGGGCAGATACACAAAGGGAATTGTGGGTTGCATCAGCGACCTCGTGCTGGACTCGGACTTCTCCGTCGCCTTGTCCTCGCCCGCACAGGCAACCAACACACACACATGCATCCCCTGAAAGAGAGATATCCGTGCCGTCCGACGTCAGGTGGTGTTGTCGGGTCCATCCCGAAGCTAGGATATGAAAATTTAAAGGATAACGTATCACACCGCGGTGAATTAGCCGCGGCAGATAGTGCTCCGCGAAAGTGCATCTGTGTCTCTCGTGCATCCACGTGCAGCCGCGTGTAAATATCATACGCGCGCGGCTCATCATTTTTGTACAGACTCATCCTTCCACAGGTGGAACTCTCGAGAAGATGGAGATCGAGTGGGTCGGCAAACCGACCGTCGTCGTGCGCGGCCACCGACTGGTAGGCGGCTTTACTGTAAATATTAAGGCGATCCGAGATACCGCGGAGATATCTATCACTTGCCTCGCGGCATTGATCCTTGGCGCTGCGACTTCCTGTCGAGCCTTATGCTCGGCCGGTCTTAAAATAAGGTTCGATCAAAAGAGTGTAAGTTCGATCGACGTCGTGTAAACGAGACAACGATAATGATTTTTTCGACGGTAAAGTTATGAGGTATTGCGAAAAATCACAAAAAAAAAATGATGTTCGTTTCCTCGACCGTTCATCGAAACTCATTGCATTGTCTTATTTACCCGAAAAGTTATTACAATTACTCCACTTGATCGTGCTTCTCGAGAACTGAGATCATTAAAAAAGAAATTGGCTTTAAATACAACCGTTTGTATGATTTGTAAGATTCTTTTCGATACAAAAAAAATGATAATTAAGAAATAATAGCTAATTAAATATATAACTGGGAAATATTAAATATACAATAGAATTATCGAAGTAACATATCCATTTTTCACAAAAATGTCGCTATTAATAAGGGCTGAGAGAAAGTTAACGCAATCGTGCACAGCAAAATAATACTTTGACGTACAATTAAACTAAACAAGTAAGACAGCTTTTCTACTTCCATTCTTCGTAAGTAATTATCACTTGTAAGTAATTCTTCATTGAGTTAAAAAGATAAAATTTTCTCTCGCTCCACGGTCGCCGATACTTTTTAACTTATTTCTTTGTCTAATTAAGATTTAAATACTGAAGATGTTAATAAAATTTAAACGGAAGAGTACCAAGCAAACATAAATTGTACAAAAAAAAATAGAGAAACTCGTCCGTTATATACGATTTTTAATATAATTTATTAATTAAGTGAAATTAATCAATTATTGTTGTGCAATGTCTGTGCTATTTTACGCGAAAGAAACTTCTTATCGTTAAATTCACAGTATTTCCCATTTTTACAGAATTACAGTAAAATTGATGATAATTGCACTATCTTTGAAGCAAGTTAGGCAAAGATTATTCAAATTAAATAAAAATTCGTTGCAAGTTTTGCAATTGGTTCCTGAAAAATCAACGCTCGTGCCGCATAATAAATTATAGCCTTTCACTCATTTTATATCTGTTCTTAAATCGAGTCGAGGGTAATTTAAAACGGGATGAATTAAATTAAAATTGGCAGCAATTATGTTTCATTTTAGCTCCGACTAGGAAAAGTGTAATGCAAATCAAACTAAAACTTTCTTATCTGATGCTCATGATTAAACCACCGTATTATTAATAATTTCAACTTTGCCTATATCTGCGTATTAATATAGTCGCCTCTCTCGAAAATTGTTTCGTAATTAAATTCGCGCGAATTAGATTACTGCTTGCAATAAAATGTATAGTAATAACAATGTCTATCACGACGAGAGTGGAGTCAATGAAGCGACGAGGGTGCATTACAGTTTAGCACTCTGTAAAATAGAATTTTATCAAGAATGAGTCCTATATAACAACGCTTAAGTTACGTAAGCGTGACGAGAGGATTGAGAGGATTGGGAGATTCGTGCGAGAATATGCGTAGCATCCGAAAGGAAAATGGAAGTCGTTGCACCAGGATAATGCCCGGCCGAATATAAAATTTGACGGAGCGCGTCTCAAAGACGGCTTTCGGCCTAATAAGATAAAAGTATGTAGAAAAAGCAACCCCTCCGCGTCAATTTTGATTATTCCCTCCGACCGGATGTTATCTTCGACACGAAGTATCGTTACCTTCGATCTTTACGAGTTCAAAGCATTCAACATTTATCGAGAAAATCGGAGCGCGTCTGGATCGGCGCTTGATAAAACCTTTTGAATTGAAGAAGAATTTGAATGGAGAATTCCGGGAGGAAGAAAAGCACGGGAGAGAAATGAACCTTTCTTGAAAAATAAAAATTTTTTTCTCGCAGAATTAATTACATTAATAATTACGTAATGTTCTACATTTGTTATTTTTATTGTCACTGTTGCGTTGCTATTTTAATTCTTTCTCTATTGTAAGTGGTTTTTGCTTTTACATTTCTCTTTTAAATATTTGTTTTAATTTTTAACGACGCCATAATTGTAATTCACATTTTCTGTGAAAAATGTTATATGTATAAAATATTACATTTTATCCATTTTTTTTATCCTCCAAAAATATGTGAAATTTATTTTTAAAAGAAAATGTAATTAGTTGCAGAATTCCATGATAAATGCACTAGCAAAATTCTGCTACTTAAAAACGATATAATACCACTATCGTAGGAAAAACTATCTAGCACCGGTCCAGTGTCTCTGCTCGTTGCTCCTACGAATCATTGCGTTACGCAACTTTTCTAATAATCTTAAGAACTATCACGATCTTTTTCTAGCAGCTAATAAATCACAAGCGCAATTACGAGCACGAGTTTTAGTTCCACGACGATATTGAAGTTAATATTGTGATTGATACGAGTAACTACTAATAAAAATAAGAGAGAGAGAGAGAGCTATGCCATGGACCAAACACCAACACTTGTATCACCGTCTATTTCAACGAGAATATATAAATACGTAAAATGCAACTTCAGAATGCAAAATGCATATCCTGATGACAATGCGGGACTCGCGTCCTTCATGAACGATCTCATCCGGTGTTGGGTAAACTTTGCAAAAATAATTTATGCAATATATGGATCTTTAAGCATTTCGTCCGTATAAATGTCATATCTTAAAGATATTTTAAGACTATGATTACAGCGATATCTTTAAGCAAAAAAAATTTGCCGTTTTATGTTATTATGTTAGTAATAAGGCACACAATTTTCATCTTTATTAAATGGATAACTAAAATTATTGTTGGTATATTTGCACATTGAAAGAACTACGTATTTAAATTAAGTTTTTAAAATTATTTAAACGGCAAAAGTGTAAAATTCCTACAAATAATGTTTAATTAATATTATAACATATGCTATGTATACGAAGTATTTTGTATTTCATATGATTTCGCGTGTAAAAGTAACAAATTATCATTTTAAATATCGGGAATATTATTCACAGCGATTTAGCTAATGTCGATTTTTTGTTTAATGATAATTAATATAAAATTAAATGATATTCAATATTTTGTTCAACGAAGGAAAGCGAGGAAACAAGAGGATAACAATGACACTTTTACATATACGTATAAAAAAAAAGAACAAATAATATCTTTATTATGCAGATCGTCGCATATTTTTTTATCTTCATAGAGCGTTTCACTCAATCCTATGAACACAATTTAGCACTACCGGTCGGAAAATCCCAGGTCAATACGTATACACATCCTATCTCACTCCTAAGGAAAGAGACAAGGAAAGAAAAAAGGAAAAAAAGTGAGACAGAAATGAACGAAGAGAAATGAGGTGAAATAACGTAAGGCATATAGAGTAATTGATGAACTTCACTTTGTCATCGCACGAAAATGATTTTAAAATGACCTACTCAAACACACACATCATAAAAGCAATCGGCTGTAGTCAATTTTGTACGGATGTTATTTTCGGGACTAAATATAATAATATATCAAAGATGGGTGGTAGTCGGTAGTAGAAAATGTAATAATATACGATTTAACTGATTGTACGTCGAGAATTAGCAGAGTAATTATCGTTCTCATTAATCCTCTCACGTTTGGACGTGAAGAAAAATCAAAGCATTTTTAATTAAAAAGGAGGAATTTTCCGGATTAAGGAGATTTATCGTTTCGCGGATAATGAAATAATTCGATTTTTTTTTTTTAGTAATTTACTATTATTATGCACTAATTGAAGTAAGAAATTTAACGTGTCAGTTTTTTAATAGAAATTGATCTAATTGTATCACATAATTATATAGTATATGTTCAACGCCTTTATTTAAAATATTTTTTATAACGCATGAGATATATGACGCGTGGGAGGATTAAAGGCACTTTTTCTAGCATAATTCAATGTACAATATTTCGCGTAAGTATGCATTGAGTGACTTGAGGCTTTTGTGTTTGTACGTTAAATCGTTTTGTATAGCATGTACTCTGTTTCTTCGAGCAGCTGGCAAGTATAAACACGCAGAATTCCACGGACGCCGAGAATTTCTCGGCAAGTCCAAGTATGTTCTGCTGATTTTGTAATTGCAAACGCATTCAACTCGGAAATATGGTTCCTGGACGCATTCCACCCAGTACCGTCGGAATTACTCGAAGTGTGCAACGTATAATTTGAATATTCGATAATAATATTCCAGCTGTGGTAATTATTCCAAAATGGGATTTCCCGAGTATTCGCATGCTTGAATTGCGAATATTCGGGTCAATAATAATTCCATTATTCCAGCAAACAGCAAACTCTTATAACAACAATCAGTTGACTAGTGTATAAATTTTAATAGCTATGACAAATTACAATTAAAAATCAAATTGCAATTTTAATTTGTAATTAAATATCCTATAGTTTTCTCAGATTGAGATTAAACGTTTTAGAGGACAGTTAATTTAATACTCGACAATTATTTTAACTGTAAATATTTGGAATTCTGAATCGCATAAAGCATGGAATAACAATTATGCGGTTGCCTTTCGAGCATTCGAGTATTCGATGGCAAATCTGATTCTAACACCAACGTACGATAGTAGAAGCTTTAATTAATTAGCGCTTGCCTTCGCACTTGTCGTTTCGAACTTTCCATCGTACGTTTTTCATTCAAAGATCAAAAAAAGAAAAGTTTCATATCCATTATATATTATATAAGAACGAGCGACCCTCCGATAAAAAGCATGAATGAGAGTCCTTACACAAGAAAATGAATGTGATCAGAATATTTTGTTTTAATGTTTAATTAAATGTGCTGTATCGAATTAGAACAAGAAACTGTCACTTTATAAGTTGCAAGAGTTTCATTTGCGAATCAGGAACAACTTCTACAGAGACGGAATCGATCGATAGATCAAATACTTTTAATTGTTTCCTTCCTGCAGAACTTGATCCGGATTTATTTATTAATACCTACGCAAATTAAGAGTTCTCCAAATCTTTTAAGACACTTTTAAGAAATATTTATAATTTTAAATACCCAGAAGCAATATGTTGAATATTTGACGTAACAAATGTTTATATTTAAATAATAAAATAAGCAAATAGTACATATTATTCTTGATAATATGAACTAATAGCTTATGATTACTGCTGCCTAAGAAATTATATATTATTTCTTTATTTAATAAAGTATAGTGCAGTTGCGTTGAAGCAACTGAAAACGCGTGACAGCATCAGTTTAAAACATTCTAAAAAGTTCCGTGAATAATCGCTAATAGAATATGGCGTTTTTTGAATAGAAAGAACTGAATCAAAGTCGATTGGAAAAACTTAGATTGGAAAAACGGCGTCGCTTTTATCGATAAGATTATCTGACGATAATGAAGCATGGCAATTTTTGCTCGACCATCTGATAATCTGATCTGATCTGATTGAATGTAATTGAAATGCATCTGAATTAAATTTTTTTAAAGAGAAAATCGCTATTATTTCATCAAATTTCTGTTCTTTCTATAAATTCTGTTAAAAATTTTTTAATTATTTAATAATATTCTTAACCAAATTTTATCAATATTTCTTTAATGATTTTTTACATAAAAGATATGTGGAAAAGTAATAATTATAAAGTAATGTCAACGATATTAAAATAAAAAATTATTTTAAAAACAAGTAAAATTTCTAACAAAAGTAAGCAAAATAAATTGCATTTTATTAATTTATTTTAAACACAGTTTTCTATTTATTTTCTAATTATGATTTTTTTTATTAAATAAGTTACATGATAAAAAGAATATCTGAGATAAGTAATAACATTGGGATGTGATAACTCGTTAAATTAAACGAGCTGTCTTCTACATAAAAAAAATTTACTTACATTGTACCTATATGCACATAAGAGACGCCGTTTTTCTATGCGCGTTTTTTTAATTTTCAGATTTAATTCGAGTCGGTGTACCTATTATAGAAAAAAGAGACAGACACGTAAAAATATCAGTCTCGAAATCGCTTTTAGAACGTCACAGCCGATAAAATTTAAGTACTATTCATGTCGATTATAAGAGGAAGAGATAAATGCAATCAGACGTTCGCTTTTGATTTCGAGCACCGTACAACCACTTATACATCGAAGTTGTTTCTCATTATTTTGAACATGTACAGGATGAGCTGTTTAAACGAGAATATGGAGATCAAATAGAAATATTGTGGATAGAAAATTAAGAAACTCTGAAATTCATGGAAAGGAATATATTCAAAGCTCTAATTGATAAAGAAATAAGGATACTCCACGTTCTCGTAAAAATAACTTGTCCTGCCTCCCTCGATGTAATCCTGCGCGAAAATAGTTTACCTGAAATTCTACGAATTTCAACCCTTTCGCCAGTTTCATTTGTCGAAGACATTCAAGAATGAATGACGAATAAATTTTTATGCTCTGCAAATTTACGCAGTTTGCACAATTTACTTGTATTTAGAATATAAAACGAGAGGTTAAAACGAAACGATTTTAAGACGATTTTTAAAATCTCGTAAAAAGATGAAGACAAATCAATGCGAATTTTCACAAATTATCTATGAGCCATGAACAATGCAATTTTTATCCGTTGTTTATATAACTGTGCATAGCACTTTAATTAACAAATCTTAAATCTCACCACATCCTCATTTTATATACCGATATCTACTAAATTCGGACACGCATACACTCGCTTACTTGCTAAGATTTAGCGAAAGGGTTGAGGCGCGATCACAAACGTTAAGGAGAGAGATTTTTTAGCGGCTCGGAATGATATTCGACGATTAAGCACGTGTAATAAGGCTGACGCGTATATGTACTTTTTACATCATATCCATTTGAACCTAAAAGCAAATCGCTGGATATCACACCTCAAGACAAAAAAGAGAGAGAGAAAGAGAAAAAGCGGGAAGAAGCACTATATTGAAAAGGAAAAAAAATATCAATACATATTAATATATAATAGATATTATATTATTACTGAATATTATATTAATATATGATGCTATATATATATTAACTATTTCTATTATGTCCGTCTGCAAAGTCTATTAGAAGAGTCTATCCTGTCGACCTATTCTTACGACCCATGTGGATCTCCTCGGATATCTATGTACATACATGTGTGCGTGCACGCGTGTATCGCCGAGCGCGCAATTATCGCGAGACGAAGGCGAGATCTCCTTCAAAAAACACATGCCCACGGAGATCCGCGTCGGGGCGCAAATTTTGCGCGCGCTTAACGATACGCGGGTACACGCACGCACCGAGATTCGCCGGGCGACCGGATGAAGCCGGTCCCCGCGAGTCTCCCGTCCTCGTTTCAGACGATCAATGTGTAAGATCTTCGTCGTTAAATGTTCGTGAGACGCTCGTGGCAATAAAGATAAGGACGCTACGTTCGCGATCGTTTGCGATTTCTCGCTTCAATCCTCTCCGGCATTGTCGTGGGCGCGTCGACGCTCGCGCACGAATTCCGGAAACATTGTGGATTAATCTTGGACAGATAATATATAAACGTAAAAAAACAATCACTTACGGAAAATGCTGTTATTTTATTTACGCAAACAATCGCTGAGTAACTAAAATTAGGATTAAATTACTTAATTATTCGCGGAAATAGAATAACAGCACCTTCAATAATATTGAAATTCTTTTTGATCAAATTAGTTATATGGAAAAGCTCAGTGTAGTATAAGAGAATTTATCACAATGTATGTTGCAAATTTCCTGAAAAGGCGATTAAATAACAATAAAATAAATAACATGGGAGAATCGTTTTTTTAATAGAACGAAGATGTAATTAAATGACCATGTTGAAATTTCAGAAATGTTAATTAATATTGAATCGATAGTGATATAGAGCTGAATTTTCAAAAAGTTGGATACGTGACTTTTTAAAATGACTACTCCTTATTCCCTATAAAAATTGTAGAGAAATTAACTGCAAGTGCTTTCATACCTTTATATCACTTTTCTGCACTAGCTCTGCAATCACTCTGTTATGTATTAAGAATAACACAAAATAAGTGATTAATAATAATCACACGTAATACACGTGTGAACTTTGTCGTGAGATTTATGCGAGTTTCACCTTTACCTGCGTCCAGGATTAATAGAACAATCTTTCTATGGAGCGCGCGATTGTTATTGCTCGTACGATATATCAAAGTGTAACGGTCACACCGACCGTATATCGATACTTTATCAATCTGCGCGTGCCGAAGTGCGTTATCGCGCGCGAACGTCGACGTATCTCGACACGGCCCCATATATGGCGTGATACGACTCCGTATGATTTATTTCGAGGGTGTTCGGTTAGCGCATACCACCCCCTCCTCCTCTCCCGGCTCTCCTGCGATTCGACGGAAAATTGCGGACCGCGCGTGCCGTTTACGGGCGACCGATTCGCATCGAACATTTTATACGTGTGTGATTTACATAAGCCCGAAATTGAGTTGACACGATGGCGCACATCGGTCGGCGCGGCACGATTATTTAATGGATTGTGTACGTATACGTTTGAACACGCAGTGGTTAAAATTCATATGAACTATGAGCAAATGTGTGTGTCTCAGCCCATGTTGTCAAAGCATCAATAAAAAAAAACAAAGAGATTTTATAAACCGTGCGATGTTTTTCTTTATCGCACAAATCGTTTCTCCTACTTCCTCCTCTCCACTCTCACACTTTACATTTGATTTGCCACAGAATGCCATGGCGTTAATAATTTATAATAAAAGAGAATTTTGCTGAAGAGAGATCTCTTACCGGTGTGCAGCGCAGCAGCGGAGTTGTAGCACTACGTTGATCTCTCTGGAACACATAAATATATTCAAATTAAAGTAGCGCTCGATAAAATTAATATTTAAAAAAATTATTATCCCGCGCGTTGAATTCTTTAATCGTCTTTTAAACAGATATACAAAAGTTAATTTAATTAATTAATTATATTATGACAGTTAATTAAAAAACGTTGATGCGGAAAATAATCGCGATCGCTGCTAATCATTATTATTAACTTGTCTAATCAAACTCGTTACTCGACCTGTGTAAAATTCATACTTCATAAATAATAGTACGATCGCACGGAGTTCGTTTGACGGAGCTGTCGCGTTATCAACACGGTATAATCGCTACGATTGCACGGAATTTGCTTGATGAAATTATCGATGTTCGACGCAATATACTGTGTCCAATGGCGGAGATATTGGTCTCAGTATTACAGAAGTAAATCAAGTTACGCTTAGAAATGTTAAAGTGGCGTTAACTGCCGCTAAATAACAAGCGCAATAAATAAATCGCAATTACTCACCTGGTGGTTGCTCCGCTGTCGCCCGATGCCCCCCGGGCCTCCGCCTCCTCTCTCTCACTCGCTTGCGTTGCTGTGGCACTCACACGATATTTACTAATTTACTCGCGAGAATTGTTGATTACGAACGCGCGGCACTTTGCACGGCACTCCCGACTCAACTCAAGCATCTCCATCGCATATTCTAGCTTCTACGAAAGAATAACGCGCGGAAAGTATGTACGACGTCGCGCAAAAGTTACCTGCGATCCTGCTCGACCCCGCGACATTACGCGAATGAACGAATATCGGTTGGCGGAAGGCGGAAGGAATTTGAATACTGCGCGGCCAACTTCACGCGTCAGCTAGGCGAACCGCCGCGACGCTACACTTGTTGCTCCTAACCACATTTTTGCCCGCGCTTTCCGGCACTTGGAATAAATAATGAATAATACACATGCGCGCGTTTTTTAGGTAAATTTCTCGCGTTGCGTCACGTAGGCGAATAAAATGTACGAATTAAGGGTGAAAACAGGTGTTGGCGGAACGCAATGTCGGAAAATGTGACTGTCTCCTTCGCTGATTTTTCGAGCGACCGATTTTCGATCGAATCAATTGCACGAAATAGGCGTTTAGACGAGTTGCCGAAACTTCGACACGTATACTCCGAATCGGTGCTACAGGCGACTGTCAAATAATCAAATACGGTTAAATACGGGATCACAATGACAACTCCATTTACTACCTGCACTCGTCGCAACTCGCAACGTCCGCGGAGTGGCGCGGAGTCAATAGATCCCGTGTTACGTTGTTCGTTCTACTTGCACTTTATGCACTCCGGTTTTTCGCGCTTCAGTTTCGATTCAAGAAGCGAAACATCAGGAAATGCGAGTAAAACAAGCAGATATAAGATTATTCCGTTCTCGGATTTGTCAATTATCAATATACCGACAATTATCAATTATCGCAGCGCAAACAGATTTCTTTCGAATACATATGTCGCGTTCCCACATCGAGATATATTTCTCGGCAACTCGGCTCGCTCGACCAATCAGCGTCGCCGTTAACATGCCCGTCGCGCGCGTGCAACCAACCGTCGCTTTTTTTCAACGCGGCGCATCTAACCGCGCTGACGCGTCTATGCTCCCGCTGATGGCGAGCAGCGACGGAATACGGAATGTGTTGCTGCAATTGGCAGCGATGGCGATGGGTACGCGGGTCAGTCCGGTCAGTTCCGCCCCTGGCGTC